CATTGAATCGTCTAATTCCACATATATCTTTCCTAATATTTTTTGTAGCTCGGGAGGTGGGGAAAATTTCTCAAGAAACTACGCCTGTATTTTAGTCTAAGTGGTGATTGGTCTAGAAGGCAAATAATAAAGCCACTCCTTAGCTTTATCAGCAAAGGAAAATGGAAAAGCTCTTAATTTAATTTGCTCTTTAGTGATACCTTGAGGCTTCATACTCAAACACGCGCATGAAATTCTTTGAGGTGGTTGTAAGGATCTTCACTTGGAAACCCATGAAAAGAAGGAAGTAAATGAATAGGAATAGATTTTAATTCAAATGGTACATCTAGAGCAAGATATGTTATGCAAAGAGGTTGTTGATTTAAATCTGGTGCAACTAATTCTCCCAAAGTTTTCTCGTTCGCCATGATTTCAATCTCTTCCTTAGATTCACTAGAAGTATCGATCAAGTCAGTTGCTAGTTTCAATCCATGAGAAGAAGATGATTGACTTGCGTATTGCTTAGATTCTTTTCTCAATCTATGAGTTGTCTTCTTTATATCAAGATTGTATTACAACTCACATATACGAGAACAATGAGGAATAAACTAGCAACCAAATAAAAAGAAAATAAAAATAAAAATCCAAAGAAAATAAATAAATAAAAAAGCACATGTTCCCGACAACGGTACCAAAATTTGTTGGATGTGAAACCATTAAATACAAAAATTCCTACTCCAAAAATATAATTCTGAGTATAGCGATGAGTAGAGTCACATTTTCAAAGATTGGGTGATTTATTTTCTTATAAAATGAATTATTTTCTTGCAAAAAATTTACCTATGCAATTCACTTAAATAAACACAATCACGCAAAACTAAATAAAACTAAATCAACAAACGACAAATCTCTAGTCAAAGGATTAATCATCACTTTGATTCATTTAATTGATTCTTGATCCAAAGATAAAATTTATTTACTTATGAATAAATTAGTTATGGTAGTTAACAAACTCTGGCAAACTGCCTCTCCTTACTGCCTAGATAACTACAACAAGTTCTATGATTGTTTTCCTTATCAATTGAACAATTCTAAGCAAGCTGTTAGGAATTAATTTATTGACAGCATTAATTATTAGAAGGACTACCAATTTTAACCAGCAAACTCACAACCTTGATCCATTCAGTTTAGATTATATATTCCCATGATATATATATATATATATATATATATTCAAAAGTCTTATTTACAACCAAATTATATCACTTGTCATAAACACTAAAACTACCAAACAATTACAGATTTAATATTTTAAATGACAGTAGACTATTCCACCAAATAAATACTGATCACTTATTTAATCGAATAAAATAAACATCTCAATAATGAACAAAGAATATATAAATATTTATACATATATGAAACAAATTAACCAAATTGGATCTCACAGTATTCGATGAGCTAAAGTTTTGATTATCCTTCAATTAGAACAAGAATTTAGCCACTCCTCATAGTGGAATTGCAGCCAAAAGTAGTATTCGGTTTTATTGTTAAAGAGAAAATGAGAGAAAAGGAATAAAAGAAAAATTGTTTTGGTGAATGAATCAAGAAGAACAAATGCCAAGGCCAAAGAATAGTTCGTTGCTCTGGCCTTCTTCGTTTTCTCTAAATTGTATGTAATGAAACATATCATCAACCTAATGCATTAGCACTCATGTACTTCCTACCACCACTTGGGATTTTCGGTGATATGTTTTCTATGCCAACTCAATGTCACCAATAATATTGCGCCAAGTGTCTTGTTATTATTTACACTTGTGTTAAATCAAATCAAATTGAATTATTAGAAAATTAAAGTATAAATAATAACAAGACACTTGGCGCAATACTATTGGTGGCATTGGATTGGCATAGAAAACATGTCACTGTGGATCTCAAGTGTTCCTACCACAAAAGATAAGAATTCTTTTTGGAATATAATATAATAAAATTCTTTCCACAAGACTTTCGTGAAAACAGCCATCAAATTTGCTTGCTTCTCCTAGTAGGTTTGAAGCTTTTGAGTCCTATAAGAAGTTTCTGAGTTGATATCAATTTGCTTGCTTCTCCTAGTAGGTTTGAAGCTTTTGAGTCCTATAAGAAGCTTCTGAGTTGATATAAAAAAATCGAACCCGAGGGTTTAAGTGTAAAAATCTGGTGAAGATGCTAGGGTTTAGAGCACCTTCCCCTGTCTCGACCAACGCCGTCCCCACCGTCCTTGCCGGCCCTTGCGCTCCACGCGCCGTCGCTGCTCTTCCCCTCTTCGTTCGAATAACAAATGCCAGCTCTCCTTCCAACCTGGAGTATCTGTATTCGTCGATGACGTCGTTAAGGTCCAGTAGTTGTTCTTCAGTTAAAGCCATGGCTCAAGCTGGGGCTCTTTCAGCGCCCACGACACCCACGCGTGGGAGGAAGCACGCTTTGATTTCGTTAACAGATAAAACGATGTGGCTGTTCTTGGCAGTGGACTTCAGGAACTGGGGTACACAATTATTTCAACTGGAGGAACAGCATCTGCTTTGGAAAGTGAAGGTCTATCTGTGACTAAAGTGGAAGATCTCACTGGTTTTCCTGAAATGCTTGATGGTCGTGTAAAAACTCTGCATCCTAGCCTACATGGGGGTATCCTTGCTAGGAGAGATTTGGAGCATCACATGGGAGCCTTTGACAAGCACAAGATTGGTACAATTGAGGTAGTGGTGGTCAATTTATATCCATTTTATGAAAAATTTTCCTCTTCAAGTGGAATATCTTTTGAAGATGCAATTGAGAACATTGATATTGGTGGCCCATCCATGATAACTGCTGCCGCAAAGAATCACAAGGATGTTTTGGTGGTGGTTGATCCAGAAGACTACCCTGCACTTCTAGAGTTTCTTCGCGGAAAGCAAGACAACCAACAGTTTAGGAGAAAGCTGGCTCAGAAGGCTTTCCAGCATATTGCCTCTTGCGAGACTGCAGTTTCAGAGTGGTTGTGGAAGCAAACATCAGAAGATAAGTTTCCTCCCAATATGACTGTGTCTCTCTCACTCAAAAGTCGACTTCGGTATGGTGAAAACCCTCACCAGAAGGGTGCATTTTATGTTGACAAGTCTCTCGCTGAGGTTAATGGTGGTGGTATTGCAACTGCTATTCAACACCATGGGAAGGAGATGTCATATAATAACTATTTAGATGCAGATGCAGCGTGGAATTGCGTGTGTGAATTTAATAGACCTACTTGTGTCATTGTGAAACACACAAATCCTTGTGGAGTTGCTTCACGTGATGATATTGTTGAAGCATATAGACTGGCGGTGAAAGCAGATCCAGTGAGTGCTTTTGGTGGTATTGTAGCCTTTAATGTGGAAGTTGATGAGGTGCTGGCTAAGGACATTCGAGAATTTAGAAACCCAACTGACAATGAAACTCGAATGTTTTATGAGATTGTTGTTGCACCCAAGTATACGAAAAAGGGGCTAGAGGTTCTTCGTGGAAAATCTAAGACTTTGAGAATACTTGAGGCAAGTAAAAATAGTAAAGGAAAACTCTCGCTCAGACAAGTTGGTGGGGGTTGGTTAGCTCAGGATTCAGATGATTTAGTTCCTGAAGATATCGAATTCAAATCAGTCGCTGATAAGGCTCCACAAGAAAGTGAGCTTTCTGATGCACGGTTTGCATGGCTCTGTGTGAAGCATGTCAAGAGTAATGCCATTGTCATTGCAAAGGACAATTGCATGTTAGGTATGGGAAGTGGGCAACCAAACAGGTTGGAAAGTTTCAGGATAGCTTTAAGAAAAGCTGGGGATGAAGTCAAGGGAGCTGCTTTGGCTAGTGATGCTTTCTTTCCATTTGCCTGGAACGATGCTGTTGAAGAAGCATGTCAAAGTGGAATAAGCGTCATTGCCGAGCCTGGAGGTAGCATCAGAGATGTCGATGCTATCGACTGCTGTAAGAAATATGGAGTATCCCTGCTTTTCACCAATGTGAGGCACTTTAGGCATTAAAAAAGGAATTTTGAGTTTTAGAAGTGTTGCATGCCTTGATGAGCAATTTCCAAGCTCGCAGCCAAGATTAAGGCCTGAAAGCTTTGGTAGTTAACCAAGTAGATGATATATCGACAATCTTGAATCTTCTTATATTTAATTTGACTGGTTTTCAAAATGCATTATGAGCTAATTCTGTGTACATCTAGGAGCCTGAGTGCCTTTCCCAATGTAACCTCTATATTTCTAATATTGAACTTTAGGAATTGCTTAATTTGACTTGTTTAATATATTGCTCAAAAAAAAAAGAAAATCGAATGCTGTTCGAACGAACTACCGGTGCCACAATTTGTGTGGAAGAACGTTGAACTCATTTTGAAGCTGTCACCTAATATTGTGGTTTAAAGACCAAAAACGTCGTAAAAAAAGGTTTCTGGATTGGCAAAAACTCTATACAACCAATCCAGATGGTCAAGTGATGGAATTCCGTGTCTAGTGTACCAGCCCCTTCTGAGTTAGTATGGGACGCTACTTTGCAATTACCTGCTTAGTACAAGGTTAAACATTTCTAATGGCAGCGCTTGAGAGGCAAATATTGTTACCCAAGAAAAGAAAAAAAATTTCTAGATCACAGGTTTTTCTGCTGCAGATCAGAAGGTCCTCTGATTTTGGTGAGCTGGAGAAATCTTGTCCATCTGTTTCCTGAGTGCAGAGCTGCACAGTTAACTTGGAAGATAGCATCTGTAAGTGGGATTATCTTATCCTGCACTTCAAATTTTTGTCGTGCCAGACCAATTTGTTAACTCTTAGGAAGAAAATTTGTTTATGGCATCAAGTATCTTCAGTTGTTCTGTGTAATGGGAGCTGAGGAAAGGTTAACAAGCTGGAACCCTAAAAAATGTTGAAGATGAGGAAGTGCGAGTTGTTCATCAAGCACATGAAGAATAGGTTGAATCTCATGACATTATAAGATTTCACTGAAAATAAAAGGAAAGAGGAAGAGGAAACAAGGAGACAAGAAAGAAGTGTGGGATACTATTGTACACTATAAGGGTCAAGTGGCACATAAAACTGCTATTAACGCAAAGTGTTAAACACTTCATACCACAGAGGTGTACTGGAATTAATAAAAAAGATAAGAGGGATGCCAATGTTTCCCCTCCAGAGAAATTCAGTCGTGTCATTAAACTAGCTACCGAGTCTTTGGACTCTTATATACAGTCTTTGGACCCCACTAGCTACCGAGGGTCAAAGCATCACTATTACTCTAAGCACACTTCTTTTTCCAAGAAAAATAAGCTAACATTTTCGTTTGATCTGGGGAGAGTCCGTCTTTTCAGAAGGAAGCATTAACCATAGCCACCAGCTCTACACCTGTTAAAGAGTCCAAAGACAGAAGTAGGAAGTCATAAGCATTGTGACCAAGTAGCACTAAACCGTGACCATTTCAGCAACAATTATTTTATCTGTCATTGGTTCAGAAAGGCAAAATTCACATGAAAGTATAAACTTCAAGATAAAAGCTTTTTCTGAAGGTGGCAAATGGCACTGCAGGTTGAGGGTCATGGAAGAATATCTTGGCAATCTTCTACATGAAATGATGCACTACTATCTCAAGATAGAACCTATCCTCCCTGGCTTAATAAATGCTTTACAAAAACATTTTACTACACCCTGCAATGTTGTAAAATAAACTTGCATCATCTTCTTCTCCATGAGGAAAAACAATCTAGAAATAAACTTCATCTACAAAGTAAATCTTTCTGTCTGTAAGTATGGGATAACTAATGAGTATATATCTTCATGTTTGTGTCACTGAATTTAATTGGAAACTTTTTGAGTTGGCCACTTTTGTTCGTCTCACTTCTACAAAGCAGCCATTCTTATACGTCTTGATTAAAACATCTATTAAAAATCAATAAATTTTTGTGCAATTTTCTATTCGTCGACTTGTAATTGAATAGTCAAATCAGGTGAACTCAGCTTGGTCTCATAATATGATGTTCAACCAACTCATAAAACCAAGAAATCGTAATGTATCATCCTTCACGTTACCAAGTCAAAAACATATGACAACCTTCAACAGGCAAAACAGTGCCAAATCACGTGGTGGAATAAATCTTGAGGGCATTAAGATAAAATATGTCATAAAAAATCAACTTCTAATGCAAATTACGAAAACGAGATCCAAAATCCAGGAAAATCCTAGAGAGGATATATAAGTCAAAAGAAACTGGAAAATCACACAGTAAATCCTTCCTATTTCAACTGGACATAATCACAGTTACAACTATATCAGACATACACGATGTAATGAATGAACAGCCTTCAAATTGCTAAACCATATAAAGTTACAGATTTCAAATATCTTTACAACCAATTTAAACCACTTATATCAACTTAACACCCCATTGATTCCTTAAATTTTGCACATCAACACATCTTAACATTGGCAATTGGTCGGTCACACTTAATAAAATATCTTAAAATATTTTAAACTCAATATATAAGAAAAGAAGCTCGTATAAACACAAAATCAAGTAAAACACATTAAAATCTTCTAGAAGTAGTTGACTACTTCACTTGATATCAACATATTTTAAGATTTGCAATTTGATCCATACTTCTCAATCTAGCATCTTAAATTCTTCTAAACTCAAAATATACAAAGGAAAGATCAGCTGCAACAAAGATCAAGTAAAACACACTAACGAAGATCTTTATTATTTTACAATACCAGTCAGTGGTGTGTTAATCAGCAGATCTTAGACAATTTGGTGTTTGAGTCAAAATATTGCCAACTCATAGCCACTCTCTAAAAGCAACTGATGCTAGCAAGATGAGATTGATTGAGAAAACCACCACTTACCTTCAAACTTTGTCCAGGTTCCAGCCTTTCCATTTCATATTTCTTAACCATCCTCTTGAAAACGAAGACAAATCTCTCTTCAAATCTTTCTGCAAGTTCCATCCTCTCAATTTCAAATCATCTAGCCATCCAAAATTAACAGTTAACTGTCCTGCTTGGAGCTTCAAAAGGTGCTGTCTGTAAGGTATCAGTACACTCCTAAGACCTGCAATTTATACCAGTAATATGTTAGACAAGGAAAAAGAGAAGAAATCAACAGAATAAAACACTGAATCACAGCTAAATCCAAAAGTTCCTTATGTGATACCTGAAATGCACATTGTCCTATAAAGGTTAGCAATGCACGGATCTCCCCTATTACTCATGTTAGGCTTCTCCAAACACTCGAGGAATGCTAAATCTGCCTTCAGAAGCTCAGCTTGGTTGTGAGTGTCGTATCCAATGTCATGACAGTAGCAGCAAAAATCTAACCAATCAATCGGCCGTTTATCCCAAATAGGCGACCCTCCATTTTTCCCACTTGACCAATTTGGTCCACAGTAATGCCCATAGCGTGGAAAAACCTGAGAAAGAATAGCTCTTATACCTGTATGCCACGGGACTTTGGAAACATATGGTCTGAAGCGTATAGCTGAATATTGGTTTAAGGATTTAGCACCATAGTTTGGTTTTGCATGCTTTTTCAACTCCTTATTGACGGTAGTTGGCATTTGAATTTTCTGTTTGCTATTGATAGTCCAAGGGATAAGTGAAAGTAGAGACCAACCAAAGAACTTTATATCAAAAGAAGCCATTTGTTTGTTAGGCTTCAAACCTACACCACTTGAAAGGACAGTTGATGCCATATTTTCACTAGATTGGGAGTTGAACCAGGGGATATTCATATTGCTCAGAAATCCAAAATTCATTGTTGAGTAGTTGTATCAGCCTCCATTGCAATCAAATGATGCAAATTGATAACCCCTGTTGCAGTCCCATTGCTGAGTTTAGAACTTAACCAAATTGAAGTTTAGAGAAGTTTATCAGGAACTCAAAAGCACAAGCATTTTAGGCATTTGAAACAGATTGACAACATACATGACAACATTGAGCTCCAACAATAACTCAAGAGTGAAAAGAAGTCACCACAGGGGAAATTTTTGTGAAAGGTACTGTCTTGGAGAGAGGGCACAATTTGTTCTGTTTATATAAAAGGGTAGTGGTACTGATTCTTTTCTGAAATGTACCAAAAAGTTTACACCAAAATGTGTACATTTTGTAGAAAATTCAGTACAATTACCCTTTAAAGTAAACAGTTTAAAATCAAGCCTGGATATCATCTTAAAAAGTGTCCTGTTTCAGAAATTTCCCTAAAACAAACAATATACTATCCTCTGCCATCCCCCTTCCATTTGTTAGTACAGTTCTTACCTATTATCTGTAGAGATCATTTTCAACGAATGGTCATGAATAAGCACGGTTGATAAGTAGCACTCCTAAGTAGGGTTGGCTTCATAAAATTGAAAATGCAAGCACGAAAACTAACTTCTACTGGTAGTAAATATCATTCAGAAAAGGGCACTAGGTGGATAAGTTAATAAAAAAGAAGCATTTTTCGTATATTTATCGCTAAGGCATCAATCATGCATCATTTAAGTACATTCTACAGACCAAATTGTGCATTTTGTACCTGAATCAGTACAGTCAACCGTTAATGTTACCCTTTCAATCCCCCAACAATAATAGGTAAAAATTGCGCCCTCTTTTTTTTTTTTTTTTTAAAACCCACATGAATTAATATGTCCATCCTAATAAACTCAAGCATATAGCCGTAAACGTAACCTTCAATTTCAGAAAAACCCCCAATTCAAACCAAAAGGGGGAAAAAATCCCCACTAAGATACAGTATAAAGGCATTGCTCCCCTCTTCCTTAAACCCTTATGGGTAGGACTCTTAAGAACCGCCTAATATTTCTCAAGAAGCACAAAAACCCAGAAACAAGACCAGACCGAACAAAACAATAAACAAATAAACTAAAGGCCGAAGAATAAAGAAAACAAAAGTATAGAACTAAAATTATTAGCCGCTAACAGAACCAATGTAAAGCTTACAAGTAAGAGAACTAGGAGCGTTTCCATCTTCTTCAGTTTCGATCAATAACAATAATTCTGATAAAAACCCAGAAATGGGATACAAACAAGAAGTGAAAAGAAAAAAGAAAATCAGAGAGATATTGAAATCGTTAACCTTTCAAGAACAGAAGTAAAGCTTAGAAGTAATAGAATTGAGGGTTTTTTCCACCAATCTCCAACTCTGATCAATCTTTTTTCAACTCTGCAACCATGGCCTCCCCGTTTTCTTGGGGCAGTCTTGTCACCAGTTGAAGAGAGAGGGGAGAACTGGGTCGAGCTGCTTTGCCTTTGGTCCTCTAGTTTTTGTGCCGGAGGGGTTATGGCCGTTTGAGGTCGGTGCTTTTAGTAAAAAAATACTTTTTAGGTGCTAAAAGTATTTTTAAAATATTTGATAAATACCATTTCATAAAATTAGGAGTAAAATTTTTTATATTTAAAATACTTTTAACAAAAGTTCAAGTTTAGTGCTTTTAAAGTAGCTTTGGTGATTTAAAAAATAAAACATCAAGTTTAATCATTTTATCCTATATTATGAATCAAATAAAGAAATAAATACTTTTAAAAATTTTCAAATTATACATTATCCATTACAATAAATACTTATTGAACTATGTCTTCAAAACCTTTTGACTTAAAAAGAAAACTATGTCTCCAAACAATATATTTATAAGCACTTAAATAGTTAATAAATATTTTTTATCAAAAGGTTTACTAGAAAGTATTTTTCAATAAGTTACCGCAATTCAAAGGATAGGATTTGAGAGAATTTGGGGGAAAAATAGAAAAGAGAGAGAAGGGAAAGGGAGGGGAAGGAAAGAGCTAAAACAATGGAAAATGAATTTAGGGGTTAAGTTTTTGTATTTGTATAAATTCATTTTTTTTTAATTTTTGGTTAAGTAAAAAGACGATAAAGTCCTTACTCATTGGATCATTGCGTTGTTAAGTGGCATATGAAATTGAATTTCACAACTCATGGGTATTTTCGTCTTTACATGATTAACAAACAAATTTCAACCAAAAAAAGGAAAGGGCTAAAATTATGGACAGTGAATTTAGGGGTTTATTTTTGTAGTTGTATAATTCATTTTGGAATTGTTAATGGCATTCCACTTTTTATTAATGACATTCTTACGATCATTTTTATCGTATGATTTTCATTTATTAGACTCTATACTTTATGACAAAACAGAAAGCGAAAGTGATATTCAAAAAATGGAGTGCCATTAACATTTCCTTTCTTTTTTTTATATTTTTGGTTAAGCTAAAAATATGGTAAAGCCCTTATTCAATGGACCACTGTGTTATTAAGGCCCCGTTTGAGGTTGCAATACTTTCAGTAAAAAAACACTTTTATATATTAAAAGTACTTTTAAGACATTTGGTGAATATCATCCCATAAAATTAAGAGTAGAACTTTTGGTATTAAAAACACTTTTAGTAAAAGGCCAAATTTGGTGTTTTTAAAGTTGCTTTTGTGATTTAATAAAACATTAAATTTAATCATTTTATCCTATATTATAAACTAAATAAAGAGATAAATACATTTAAAAAATTTTAAATCACATATTATCTAAAACAATAAGTATTTATTAAACTATGTATCCAAACAGTATACTTAAAAGTTCTTAAGCACTTATTAGTACTTTTATTAAAGAACTATTGAGAAAGTACTGAGATAAGTTACCACAACCCCAAATGGACCTTAAGTATTATATGAAACTGAATGTTACTACTTACGGGTACTTTTGTCTTTAAATAATTGACAAACAAATTTCTACCGAAAGAAAAGGAACAAGAAAAATTTACCTACGATTTTGCTTTAATTAATGGAAATACGATTACTCGATTGAGTCTAAAAAATTACAAGTATTTCATCATAATGCACGGAAAATTTTTCTCTTTTGAATGATATTCATAATGTCTTGAAAACTTAAATAAAACTATAGGTTTCTTGACGTTGGCAGACTGAGATTGCCACATTTACATGTGTTAGGATTATGATTAATCAAAAGTCGTTTCTGTACATAAAGATTTAGGAATATGAAATACTTGAAAAAATTTAGTCCAAAAAAAAAACAATAGAAGGAGGGAAATGTTATTTGCACTCCATTTTATATTTTTTGCACTCCCACCATTTGTTTTATCATATAGTCTAATAAATAAAAACTATATGATTAAAATGATAGTAGGCGTTTGATTAAAAAAAATTAGAGTGCAAATAACATTTTTCAAAAAGAATTCTCCTACCAAACAAATTCTAACGGAATAAAATAGCTGCAAGTATCAACATTTTCATTGTTCGAAATGATTTGAGGCGAAAACAATAATACGTAAAAGAGATTTGCTTTGTTGTTTTTAAAATCAAGTCAGATACCATACAAAGAATAAAGTGATAGAGGAAATAAAGATCATAAACAATTGCATTGAACAACTTGGCCATAAATTTGACTAAACTTAAAGTGGTAGAGAAAGTTTTTGCAAAGAACAACCATAACGCATAGAGGTATGATAAAGGCAATGATAGGAAAGCACTATCAAGAATAAAGTAGTTGGAATTGCCACTTAACGTGGTTTCTTTTATATCCATATAGGTGTCTCTTGCATTCGTATGACTTGATGGTAGTTTAGTTTCCGTCGGCTCTCCGTGATCTTGCTGGATCATTTCTTTAGTATAGGTTAGAGTAGGAGTAAGTGTAGATGGTGATAATAAACACAAAAAAAAAAAAAAAGCTATAGGATATTGTTAATGCACAAAAGGACTCCTATAGGATATTGTTAAGACTCCTATAGGCTAATCTTGAGGTTGAGGGATGTAGAAAGGGCTAGAATTTATGCATAAGAGACTTTATGAACTAGAGTTGTTTAAGACATTCTAAAGGTCAAGAATTGTATAGCTAAGTTGGGAGAAAACTTCAGAATTCTCTAGGCTTGATGGCTTGCCTATAAATAAACTAAACTTCTTTTGTGTATAGCCAATTCGAGATCCAAGTTTCTAAGTGCAATACAAGACTTCCAAGTTCTCTAACACTTTCCTTCTTTGAAATTAAAGATTTGCAATTCCCAAAATTCACAAAAACCAATTACGCAACTGGAATGACCCTTGTTTGCAATAACTGAAACTATAATGGCCTTGTTCACAAAATATGGATATACAAAGAATCGAGTGTTTTTCGATTCGATCAGCGTATGAAGTAGCTATTGGGTTTTTGAAAAGATACAAAAAAAACTTCAAAATGTTCAACCCAAGAGGAAGAAAGTTCGAGCTAAGAGGAAGGAAGTACTTTCTGGAGGCAGGAATGAAATTTGCAAGTTCCTCCTAAAGTTTTGATATTTTATTTGGCGAATGTGTTAGAATAAATATTAAATATTGATTGTAAGCTTTGTGGATGGTGTGGGGTTAGGGAAGAAGATGATCAGCATGTTTTCTTTGCTTGTGACTTTGCTCAAGAATTTTGGAATCACCTGGAATATGGGATGGATTAAAGCAAGTTCGGGAATCTTTTTTAAAGAATTTTAAAGGAGAATGATTCTCAATGGCTAGCATTATTTGCTATTGTTGTTTGGATGATATAATATTCCTGTAATAACAACTTGATATTTGAGAATAAAGTGATGAAAGCAAAAGAGGTTGCAGATTTTGCTTATTCTTATTTCTTGGAATTCACTCGATTACAAGAAGAGGCTAGTAGTGATCAGATATCCAATAGATTGATTAGAGCATAGGTAAAGCCACATGACGAAGGTTGAAACTGTTGATGGGTCAAGAAAGGTGGGGAGTTGGTGTAGTAGTGTGTGATGAGAAAAGGGAAGTTTTGGCTGCCATATCAGAGAGGTTTAGCAATGTTGTTGATGCAGATTTTGGCTAGAATTATGGCTTTACCATGGGATTCTGATATAGGTATTGATGTGTTTGACTTTAGAATGATTCTTATGGATGAATGGAGAAAGTTGTCACGTGATTGCTTTAGTGGAACAAGCTCGATTGCTATTTTTTTCTTGATAAGAGAATCCGCACCCGTTATCCGAGAATACGCATTGGATAAACCCCGCCCTTTGCTAGTTTGATTGCTATTGCATTCAACATCGACATGTAGGATACTACATATGTGTAGAATAGAAAATGCTGCTGTACATGTTCTTGATCATTTTGGGCTTAGCTTGAAATCTATACTTGTTTGGTGGGATAATTTCCAGACTGTCTTTTATGTATTGTTATTGATGAAATGTTTCTGTGATGTAAATGTTTATGTTGATTCATTGGAATGAAAGTTAGTTTTTGTTTCAAAGAAAAAAAACCTAAATGCTAAATACCAGTGCAAACGAAACATATTGGTATATAGTACAAGGGTTAATAATAAAAAAGTCCCTTGTGGTATACCTAATATATAGAAAAACTCTCGTGGTTTCAAAACATACAAAATGACATCTCATATTTTGAACTAAATTGTAAACTAACAGAATTCGTTAAACTTAACGGAATCCGGTAAACTTTTTTTTTTCTTTTTTTTTTTTCAACAAACGGTAACATTTTATATATCGTTAAAAACACTTGATTTTACAAGTATTACTTACAAAAAAGGGGGTACTACCCTGCAGTCCTTCTTGACTAAATCAACCAGCCAGATTGGGAAATCATTTTCCCACTCAATATCATGTACTAGCTTTACTGCAAAACGGAATCCGGTAAACTTAACGGAAAATTTAACGAAATTCGGTAAATTTAACGGGATCCGGTAAGTTTAACAGACAAAACTATCATTTTCGTTAAGTTTAACGAATTTTGTTAGTTTACAATTTAATTTAAAACATGAGGTGTCATTTTGTATGTTTTAAAACTATTGGGGACTTTTCTGTGTGTTAGATATACCACAGGGGTTTTTTTTTGTTTTTAATCCATAGTATAACGATATATTTGTTTGCTTTTAGAGTTTTTGAACCATCTAAACACTTCCATTTTTTGCTTTCGTTATTGTATTTTATTACGGTGGACAAATCAAGTTGGTATATTGTGAATTCGTTGTCGTCACATGTCCTCTTTTAGAGTTTTTGAACCATCTAAATATTTCCATTATCTCTATTGTGTTATGTCAAATGCTTTTCTTTTAGGCTTAGTTTGGGAGTTTAGCATAGAAAAGAGAAGAAAGGAAAACTTAAGTTATGAGAGAGGAGAAGAGAAGAGAAGAGAAGAGATTGTTATATTGTTTGGGAGTTTTGAGAATTAGTGGAATGATTTTGGATATGAAGTCATTAAATATTTGTTCAAAACCTTTTTAAGGATAAAATAGGTATTTTAAAAAAATTTCACAAGTTTCCTCCAACTTTCTC